TATATATATATATATAATATTTTAAAATTAAATTTAAATTATTTTCAAACCATGAATCTTGTATGAGCTATAAACTATGTATTGTATTTCATAAATTAGAATTAGCAACAAATTTTAGTTCTCTTGTTCTTTATTTTTTTTTTAATTTGCTACGAATTTTTACAATATAAAAAAACTTAAAAGGTTAAAACATATAAAGTATGATATCAGTATATGAGCGGAAAACACCAACAGAAGTACCATCTCGAATGTGCTGTTATTCGAAAGTAGGTACCATTCAATTTTAATATCTCTTTAGCAACATATCCCAACATCACCTACCTTTTTACATGCAATTTCGGAAGGATATGCGCGATACCTTCGACGATACGTAGCCATGGATACTTCAATCATATTACTTAGTATGTATATAATCAGCAGTATAAAGCCGAGCGAGTAGTTTCACTGATCCATTCACTACTAGATCCTTTCAATGCCCATTCAACGACTCAGAGCAATGCAGCGAATAATTAGATGTGCCCGTTGAAAGCTCGAATCACGTTTACGCATACAGTTAAACGACACATTCGTGATTAGTATCGGTATAATGTAGCATCGACACATTACAAAATGAATCGCCACAGAGACGAAAATGATTTCGCGAGCCGTGCACGTAACGAGCGTCACAATGACATCACGCGAACAGTCGGCCGGATGTATAATAGTCTTAATTAAAATAGCGGTCTAACGAACATCGCTAACTGCTGTAATCCGATGTGCCTCATTGATAATCCTCCTACTGTACCGTCGAATACAAATGTAGGGATAGTCTGTCTGTATGCTGTGCTAGAATAGATGTCCTTTATGTGTATCTCTTTTCATCTTTCTTGCAAATGCTTGTAGGTATTATATAAAATTTTATTAATTATTTTAAAATTTTATAAATTATAATGTAAATTTTCTATTAAGATTCAATATTTATTTGTAATCAAATTCTTTAATAAAAATAGGAGCTTGTTACATTTTTCAGATATTTAATGTTAAATATTATTGTAAAAGAAATTTTAAATTAAAATTTATAATAAAAATTTTGTAAATGTATACGTATGTTCATAACTTTTCAAAGATTTTAATTTGCAATTTCGTGCAACTTGAAATATCTCATATCTCAATATTTATGTATGTCAAGAAAAAATCTCCGAATATGTAGAGTTGATTAAAGAATCCAGAAATAAATTCTACATGTGCAGGATATTAAAAGCCACGTGAATATAAGCACAGTCAATTGCGAGCCAAAAAATATCAATATTTGTACGTAGACAATCTTTCTATTAAAACAAATTTCCAGAACATTTTATCCATTAATTACAGTCATCTTCAGGCAATTTGTCTTTGCTAATTAATGTTAAAGGCAAATTACGCATAGCTGCTCATTAGCCTTCTTTGTATCTACTCACGTTAATTTTCTATCAACACGTTTTAAATTCTATTATCTATTGAAAGCGCAATACAGAAGCACGATTAAATTATATACTCGATCAATTAAATGAAATTAAAAACAACAAAATCTATCTTTCTTATGCGAATTTTCTTGGCGGAAGATTTCTAGTTTCACTTTGCAGAATGGCTTTTGGTTCACGTATAACAAGATGTTGGAAGCTCTGTATTTATAGTTGTTACTCCCATCGGGAGATGCTCGTCATGCGGAGCCACTTTCTCGTACGCGATGCTGGTGAATTTTTTACGCTTAATTTCCCGACAACCTGTACGATGGCAGTCTCACGCTACGTCGACGTGAAATCGACGAGACGTACGTGCTACAACGTGACGCGGTCGTAGTGCTCGTTGACGACGCGATACGTGGCTCGTTTCACTCGTAAGCACGTTCCCGCTTTCTCGACCATAGTCGATACGGGATCCGTAGTGCGATACGTGAATCGTCGTGTTAATGACGCCGATGGCGGATTGTTACGCGACTTCGGTTCGTAAGCGAATGAACATCGACTAGGAGAAAAGATATACAAAAAAAAAAACAAATATTGAGATGAATTAGGTAATTAAGATGTTTTAAATGCATAGAATCAAGATTGAAACTGTTGTGAACATTACGAGGAAAAAACTGAAGAAGCATTATTGTGTCAAATAATTTCACAAGTTAATTTCTCGCTATATCACGCTTTCAACTAATTAAATTATCGTAATGATCTTCATTAATTATATAGGATAGCTTACCTCGTTTTTTTAAATAGTAGAAAATAGTAGGAAATAGAAAAAGGGTAACTCGATTCTTTTATTCATTTGTTATAAGAGGAGAATTTAAGAAATTAATGTGATCATTTGTTCAAAATTGTAAACACTGTAGAAGACTTACCGTGTTGCGATAAGGGGACAGGTAATGCTCGGCGAAGCCCAAGCTTCTGGGCTCCAAGGCGCACACTCATATAATCTAAGTTCCCGGCCTGAAACTGCACCAAAAACACTACGCCATCCGCCGGTACATCCAGCCGCAAGACCGAATCCACTCCCGGCTCCTCGCGAAGTGCTTGCACTACTTCCGGCTCCATCTTCGCTACTCTCACTACTGGCTCGTCCATTCTGCAAGTATATACAACATATTTATGTCATTTAACATAAACATCATCCAATTTTTAATAATTGATGAAAACATTTTCTTCGAGGAAATAAACGTGCTAAAGATGTTATAATTATCAAAAATTAATAGTATGAAATTTAAGATTTGAAAGCTCAACAATTAAAGCTCTCCACAACATTAGAACTTGGAAGACTTTAGGTGTAGCTGCAAGAAATAAGGCAGACAATTTAAAAATTACAAATTATAATAATGCTATTAATTATCCAATATGCGCAAAAAGGGTTATTAATTAATTATGATAATATGAAAAATATTTCAGCAACGATGAGATAAAAAGAAGAATTAAAGAACGAAAGAAATCAATACTTCAGAAAAGATGACGTTATCGAGTTCTTCGTTTTATATTTGCAGCATCATATCAAGTGGAACAAGATATTCGGCTACAATTACGTTACTGTACAATTGATGTTTAAATACAATTGATGTCGTAAATTAAAAAGAAAAAAAAGAAGGAAATTTATGATTAAAATTTTTGTTTATATGTTACGTTAATAATAAAGAAATTGTAGATAAAACAAATGATTTATTGCACGTTTTTATACACATTATAACAAAAAGTATTGTAATATTATCAATACATAATAATTATCAATACATAATAATAAAATATTGTTTGTTATATTATGATATCTTGAAACTATTCTATTCTTTCTACTACTAAATTACTCTACATATTTTCCCAAGTTCCATTGAAATCAAAACTTGCCAGTTTGTCTCTTGTTAGGATCGCAATCGCGTTAAAGTCATAGAGGAACAACCTAAGAAGAGCACATTAATCTTAAACGACTTTCTGCCTCTTTCTCTTGGTGAAGAAAGGATCAAACTTCGTCTTCAGCCTCCTTAAAGCTCCGGAAAAGTTCGCGTAAGTAGCGGCATAAGGAGATACATCCCACGTACAAGGAGGGACCGGAAGTTCTGACGAAGTCGCTTTCAGCCGACGAACGACATCCGATCGAAAAGTTTATCCGGCAGATTAAAAAACTCTACGTAGCAACCGTTGAACTGTAGTCCTGTGTATTTTATATGGAAAACGAAAATGTTATGCACAAAGCACGATTGTTTTTATCGAGTCAATCTACAATTTAAGGATATTTAAGGATGTATTAGACATACAGTTCCTGAAAAAAAATATAGTCAATTTTAATAAATATTTGGTTGAATACTGCCAATTAAATATTTATTAAATATAAAGATATATTTATTTGATACAAGAAATATTAATTTGATTTAACAATCATTTTTTTATTGAACAAATATTTACTTACTGTTAGTTGGCAGTATTGAATTAAATATTTATTAAAATTAACTATATTTTTTCTCAGTACAAAGAAAATTAAATTTAGAAGTATATGTAATATTTACACTTTAAATAAACTATGTACATATAAAAGTTATGTGAATAAGATTATATTTTCGTTTAATAACACAGTTTTTATAGTTTATTTATTTTATTTGTGATTATTTTTATTGTTAAAAAATAAAATTTTAGAAAATAATAAAAAATTTACATTTTTCTTTTTTATGAGTACTTTAAATATTTAAAATAATTTATGCAAGGTTTCATTACGATTCATTGATTAGTTACAAAGATACAGAACAAATATTTTGTTTATTTACTGGATAACTAATTCATGCATCGAAATGTAACTCTACGTAAATAATCTTGAATACATAATGTACTTATATTAAAAAATTGAGATTTTTATTTTATAATATATTTCCATATATTTTTATTAGAACACAGATTTAAAAAAAATACTATTATTTATTAAAATAATTTACAATCCAGACAGTAAACTGTCACTAAATTTGTCATATTATTTTTAAATGATAGTGATTTAGAATAATCTATAAATTTTTCATAATTTTGTTATCATTTTGAAAATATATACGTATTATATAAAATATATTTAAGGATGTATGCATTACATCTCAAAACATTAAATTTAAGCCAAAAATGTAAAAATTTCATCAATTGTTTATATTATTATTGTTTGTATTATTAGTCGATATTTTGTACTGCTGAATATACAATAACTTTTAAACAAAATAAAAGAGAGAAAGTACATCCAAATGAATTTTTGCATGAATATTCATTAGAATTTTATTAGTATATATAAAACAATTTGATTTAATTCGACGACTTTATTAAATCTGTCCAACAGAAAGAGACAAGTCATAAGTATCTGTGTAAAATTTGAACATAATTTAAAAGTTTAAATTATACAATTTTTTGTTAATCTTAATTTTTATGTAAAATCATATTTTGCAGATTAATTATTTGCAAATTTGGTCGTAAAATTAAATCAAAGTTTTTATATACTGACTGATAATTGTTCTAACAGAGTTCGTTGAACGTGTAGAGCGGACTGAACTGAGACGGAAAGTCCTCTATCATTTTGCAATTTTCATAATAATTAACAAGATACTAATTGTTAAAAATTGCCGAAAATTTTTTGGTCTTCAATAATTTTTTACTCAAATACTATCAACTTTACGAAAAAACTGCAAGAGACAAAAATTGTTTATTTTCTTCTCAGAGCTCGAAGAATTTTTTCAAAATTTTTAAAATATATAATTTTTAAAATATTTTCTCATGTTGGTAAAAATGAGAAAATGCAGTACTAAAAAGATAAATTCTTGATAAAAAATTCTGAAAAAATTCGTAGAGTTTTATGAGAAGAAAATAAATAATCGTCACCTTTTGCAATTTTTTTGTTGATAGTATTCGAGTAAAAAATTATTGAAGATTTTCGGCAATTTTTAGCAATTAATATCTTGTTAACTATTGCGAAAATTGCGAAATGGTAGAAGGCTTTCCGTTTCAGTTCTGCTCTACATGTCCACGAACTCTGTCATAATAATTATCAGACACCCTGTATACTAATAAAACTTTAATAAATATTCATGGGAAAGTTCATTTGGATTCACTCTCTATTACTCGTTTGAAAGTTATTTATTGCAGCAAAATATGGTTATTTTGTTGTATAAAGCCATTATAAGCCAAATTATTTGTTTTTTGCAGTTGATTTCAGAGTGTATTTATGATCTAATTTTTTTGGTTGATATTAACTGATATTGGTTTTTTAGTTGATATTTTGACTGATTTAACTTATATATTGTACAGCTAAAACATTCTTACTAAATTACTAAAAAAACAAAAATATAGTGTTCAATGATTAAACATTACGTATTACTGCATTACGTAATTACTGATAGAGTAAATAGTAAATCGTACAAATAAAATAGAGCTGCAAGTCATACATAAATAATAAATAATAGCTATTGACATTAAACGTTTCGACCTGCTACGAGATTATATTCATTAGATATATTCATTAAAATTCTATAATTTTATAAATTTCAATCTAATGTCAATAGCTATTATTTATTACTTATGTATGGCTTGTAGCTCTATTTTATTTGTACAATTTATTATATATTGTGAGCCGTTTAATATCTTAATTATATTTAAATAGTGTACAATAAAATTATGCAGTGTGTCGAGTTTTAATCGAAAATTTAAAGGTTATAAAATCTAAGAAGTCAATAATTTCGAGAATTTTAAAGAATCTAAAAATGCAAAACACTGAAGTTTAAAGAATTCAATGTGTTTCCTAGAATCTTGGAATCGAAGAATCATTGCTTGTTCCTTTTTCCTTCGATCCGTTTCAATGCTCCGCAGACATCACAATCGTCGTTGGCGTCTTATCGGTGTGCGCCGCGACGCCGATTTTCTTCCGTGTCGTGGCAACCGTGAAATCGAGCGAAAAGAGCGGAGAAGGGAGACGTCGCGCAATCTACGACGAGGGTACCAATGTGGAATCAAGCGAAAAGAGAGAAATATTAAACGGCCGAGAGCGAATACCAAACGCCATAGGAGAAGGGAAAGGTCGATCGAATAGGTTGGAAAAGTTCGGAAGGCGCGAACGAGTGGAGAGAAGAGTTATCAAGCGGCAACGAACAACGTCACTTCGCCCTTTCTCGTTCCGTCTCTGCGGCGACGTTCACGATTTGCATCGTCGACGATTCCGTTCGAGATAATAAGAAGACGTGCTCATGAGAAATTATTGACAAGTAAAAATAGATGCCTTTTATTTAGAATAAAGACCAATATTAAATTAAATGGAGATATTTCACTCCTTAGATAGTTACATCGATGAAAGATATTTGATATTTGTGTTAAAATTGATCTTTGTTAAATTTTTATATAGAATTTTTAACACTCGGATATTACGTTAATTATTATTATGTTGTATTAATATAATTATATTATTTGAATATCTTGTGTTAAATTGATATTTAACGTTTCTTAGTGTAAAATAACATAAGTAATTCATAAGTAATTAATATAAAAATAATTTCATATAAAAATAATATAAAATAATATAAAAATATTCTAAATTAATTTTACTAAAAATATATTTATTTAATGTTACCATAAATGTTAATTTTACTCAAAAAATATACATCCACAATTTGCTTACCAATGATGTCAATATTACTTTTTGTATAAATTTTTTAACGTTTGTGTAACATTTTCTTCTTGTATTAAATTAACGCAAAAAAAATTGGATGGCCATGTAAAATATGTTAAATTTAATACAAAATTTTCCAATTGTTTAGAAAGAGAATTTTTTGATGCTATTATTTTCTAAACCTCAGGTCTCTTAAATTACTAATAATTTCGCATGTGCAAGTAAATACCTAAAA